ATTTGAAAAAAGGAAAAGGGAAGTTTTATGGGCAGTGACAGCCCAGCTGTGACAAAATGTAATGGAACACAGAGGTCAGGAGATGGGTTCAGAGGTCACATGGTAGGGAGGAGATGAAAAAAGGGGGGCTGGGAAAGATGTGAACAACTATTGGAAGTTGACTTTTTGTACACTGTAGGGTAGTCAGGTGAGCTGAGAGGCAGGAAGGGATGAGGGAGAAGGAGGCGTCCAACAGAGAGAGTGAGAGAGCGAAAATGTAGGAAGGTGGGGCGGAGGGAGTTTTTACAGGTACTCTGGTGAAGGGGAGGCGTGGCTCAAAAAAAGCACTCCACTGGAAACCAACAAGATCTTGTTTTAAACTTCATTTGTTTGAATGGTTTTTTGTTTGTTTTCTCTTTACATCTGAAGCTCCCCTAACCTTATTATGTAGAGGTGGTTGGCCATGATTCTACCCCAACACTACATTGCATACTTTTGTGTCCATTCCCGAGCTATTTTGTTGTACCTGTGAAGAAGCAGAGACAGAGACATGCGTTAGTCTTTAATCCCAATAAAAACCATCAAACACAAGGACATCACAGTTCAGCACTCAACAGCTTCATTTTCAATGAAAAATCAGCAGCTATTCTGTTAGCCAAACAGTGACTGAGAGAATCTTAAATCATTTTCACCTTACTTCTTATATTTATCAAGCTCGTTCATGCCTTTAGTGATAGGGGACAATCAAACTTCTTTAAAACTAAATAGTTAACGTCTGAAAAAAGGGCAGGTTTTATTTGTGAAATCATAAATCAAAAAGGTAAAAAGTAACTCTGACTAAAGAAGAACTCCTGTTGTAACTTTTATTGTTGTACACTGAGTAAAGATGATAGTGAGCTGTCACTTCATTTAGCAAAAACAAAAAGAGAGTGTGATGAAAACAGAGGGCAGTGTGGGACAGACTTTGGATTGCTGCTTCAACAATCTCAGCTTCAGTACTGAATGTTCGCAGAGCTGACGTTAGACTCTATTTGAACCACATGCTAATACATCCTCCGTCCTGTCCAGTGTGTCCAGTGCTGTTAGCAGCCCAGCAGAAGAGACAATCAATGGTGTGCTAGGGGATTTTTAGCTTCTCATGACCAGTGTGCACACACTATTTCAATTTGTGTGAGCAGTCAGCACTCAAAATGAGACGGAGATGTTTGCTTTCTAAGTGTGTGCACATGTGCATTGTAAGAGGTCACGGCTCGGTCTGTACTTAGGTTTTGGGAGCATGGTTCCGTAAAAGTTTGGTTCAACAAGAAAATAGAATCATGAAGTCCTGGATTCATATTTCAAGGTTCCTCTCATTTATTTATTAGTGACAGTAGTGCTAGTGACAGTTTGTTCTACCGAGTGTTATTTAGAAGTGCCTGTGATCGTAGGTACAGCCTGTAGGGCATTCAATATTAAACATAAAATAAAGAGGAAAACAAAGTGAGGCAAAATAAGAAGCGACAGAAATAATAATATCCTGATTTAAAAATGTAAATAAATACAATGTAAAATATATGGTGATAAAACGTGTGCCTTTAGGAGCAACGCATCATATTTATGAAGTGTGCAGTCACATCGTTGTGAGTGAACAGCGCGTGCAGCGGTTATTCATGCTCAATCACCGTACGCGCATGTTAGTGAAGGGTTCACCACGGACTGGCTTACGTGTGCACGGGATGAGACAGTGAACACAGGCTGGAGCACCTTTAAAACAAACTTGAAGCAGGGGTCCTCTACTGCTGGATAATGCACGCAAAGACTTCAAAATGTATTGGCTTCTGTAATGTCTTTGACTCATTCTGCTTTCACACCCAGAGACTAAGGGATCAGTTGTTTTGCTTAGCTCCAGTGATTAGCACATCTGGGTGATGTCATCCAAACGGTCATTAACATGTTTGACGTGTTTCCAAATACTCCTCGGTGAACCCGAAGTCTGTCCACACAACACATTTTAAAGAAGCAGGTCATTACTCTTTTTCATTGTGTGTTCTTTTTTTGTCTGCTTCTTCTGGAAGCTTCTGTTGTTTAGTAGCAGTTAGCGAACATGTACACTGCACTGTGTGTATGTGGAATGTTTCTTTTCTCCACTCAGACGTATTTGTCATTATAACTGCATGCACCAAGCCGTGACGTCCAAACCGTGACTGCAATGAATACAAATACTGTTCCAGGCCCAGTGATGAATCATTCAAAAAGACATCCTTGATGATTGTTGAGTATTATATTATAAACCAATAAAAAACAAACTATCAAAATGAAGATGGAGCATCTGTCAGCAGCTAGCCTGAGACACTGACGGATCAGAACGAGCTCTACACAGACGTCTGGAATTTACATTGTTGTCCCTGTGAGTTGTAGATTATCTTATAAAGACTAACACTTAAATGATGCACAAAACAAAAGAGCTTACTTTTCCCTGTCCGTCTTGTAGATGCGGGCGATCTCAGGTACTAAGGGGTCATCCGGGTTTGGGTCGCACAGCAGAGAGCAGATGGACAGGAGGACTGGAATAGAGCAGGTAAAGCGTTAATCAATACAGACATTTGAAGATTTCCTTTCACTTTTCTTCAGATGGATCTGAGACTGATTCTGGGAGTGAGTTCCCACCCACTGATCTGTGATTGGTCTGTAGCTTCAGTGGTCGGAAATATGAGGAACTGAGTCTAAAGGCCAGGAAGGAGCAGCTTACCTTTGGAGATGGTGAGAGCTGGAGACCACTGTGATCGCAGAATGTCAAGACAAATGCTGCCGTTGCTGTTGATATTTGGGTGGTAGATTCGTGTGGTAAATGCAACCTGATAACAAACAGGAAAAAAAAAACAAATATGGGGGAGGGGATGAGACAGACGAGCAGGTGAGAGACGCAACAATAAACTGATGTCAAAAGCTCTGGCATGTAGCTTCTTTTGGAAGTGTGCACTGATATCTTGGTTACCTTTGGCGGTTTGAAGGGGTAGTCTGTGGGGAAGTGTATGGTCAAGAAGAAAACCCCGCTCTGGTAAGGACTGTCGTTCTAATGAAGGACGGGGACAAATGTCATTAGTTACTTGAATGAAAAAAGTGGCTGACTTAGTTGATCTTCTTTTTGACATTTTTTAAAGTAAGAAGTCTGTTTCACTTTTTTTTTCAGCCCCTTTTGGGATTCTATGGAAGTCAAGTGAAGTTATACAAAGTCAATATTTCTTAACAATATTACATGTGTACTCTGTCATCATTGTGTGAATGCTTCTACCAAGGAGAAACTTAAGAATGAGGATAATGGCTGTTACTGAGGTCATACTTACAGGTCCCATTATTGTGGCTTGCCAGTGAAACACTGAAAAAAACAAAAAAAAAACAACAAAAGAGAAGTGGTTATGAAAGACTGTGTTCACAACGTGTGGCTGAGAAGTGTTAGAATAAATAATGCCACATGAATAGAGAATGCTTATTTGTCCAGTTGAGTAACAGCCTCTTATATAAAGTGCAACCCTGCAGAAATATTTGAGGAAACAGATTTTTGTGATTTGCAAAAAGGAGGAGACTTCCTTTTAGATTTAGAAACCCTCATTGTGAACAATATCAAAACCACTAAATCAATTAAACTCTTGACCTTGACACAACGACAAAATAAATCAAGATTTTATCGAGGAGCAATATGTCTACTTGGAACCTCCTGTGGATATGAGGAAAAATTACAGACTGCTTAACGGGGGGGGGGGGGGTGGGGGGTGTTTGTGATGTGTTCTTAATGTCGGAGCCAGCAGCAGGGATCAGTGCCTGGTGTGTGTGCATGTCTCAGTGTGTGTGTACGTGAAGCTCCCCGTGTTTCTACAAGCCGTGCCTCAGAGCCCTGCGCGGGACTGTTTTCTTTGTCCCGCCTCCTCTGGATTTCTGACCATTATCGCCCACTCCTGCAGTGTGTGTCATCCACTCCCGCCAGCATCTGCAACATGTGTGTCCAATCCCAGACACAACCGCACAAATTCTGACTAAACACATTTAACGTTGAGAATACACAACTGTGTTCAGTTATATCAATGTGTTCACCAAAGTTAAAGCACCACACAGGACAAATAAGAGTTCCACTATTTAAAACTTCCTCCCTGAATGGAGCAAACAAGGACAGCTGTCATCATGCCTAACTGCTCCAGAGCCACTGATTTAACCCCTGGTTAGATGAACAATAGTAATGTCAAAGTCATACTGACAGGCTTCATTACAGGTCATTTATTTTGAAGTCATACAGAGGTGGGATTGTTTCACTGATCAGTGGAAAAATGTATGTGACATCCCTTAATAAATGCTGCAATGCAGTCACCACCTGCTCTCAGCAGACTCTTCTTTTCACTGTGTGGCTGTTAGTGCCATTGTTTGTGAATCCCATGCTTTTTGTAATGAGGCCGACTTGAATGTAAAGGGGGTAATTTTCCCCCAAATGTCTTCATAATGGCTGAGGCTCCCTGTGTGGAAGGTGTAGTAAAGCCGTTGTGTGTTTTGTGAATTAGATGTCTTTTTGACGATTTAACAAACCCAAAAGACACGCACTTCTATAGTGTACAGGGCCTCCTTTTTTTTTTTTTTTTTTTTTAGAAATCCTAGCACTGTTTCCATAATTAACAAATAGCAAGAACATTTAGGAGTCACCCACACTAGGACCAGTTGCCCCGTACTGTGCGGAAGCCCGATTGACCCGTCTCCCCAGTCCCATGCAGACCTGCACTCACATTGCTACAGGCCCAACGAGGGCAGAAAACCCTGTCTAGCTGTGGGAGTGTCACCCACCTGGGGGAGGGGTTACTGGGAAAATCACCAAACAGCATGTTAAAGCACACATGACCTGAGAAGTAGAGGAGGCAAAAGACTAAAGGATGGACTTTTCTCATAACAGGGGGTTTTAGGGGGGCTAGGGAAACAGTGTTTGAAAAACACAATAGCAACAGTGGTGTTTCACCACTATATCTTTTGTGTATGATCACTGCTTCTAATTATTTCTGACAGAAGCAGACAGCCGGTGATCATTTTAGTGGGGAAGCGTCAAGCTCTCTTCGAGGTACACCCCTCAGGAATAGCCTCTGTTTGAAGTAAACATTGCTTAGATGATCTTTTCTTACACAAACTTTGAATTTGTCTCTTTTATTCAACTTGAGATGCCCTGATGATCCATAAACATGCATGTGGTCCTATCTATATGCAAATCATGTCCTGAAACTCAAACACAAGAAAATGGTGAGCATCCACTCACCCCTAAGAAGCATTACTCTTTCCCCAATCAATGACAAGAGATGTGTTATTGTCATGCTACTTTCAATTGGGTGATGTAACTGGAACAAACTACTTCTAGTTAAGAGGGTTGACAAGTTCAACGTTTACTGTTACTGGCCGTAAAGTTGTTTTTGAATAAACTCTTGAATAAGTTGGACAATAAAGCACAATTAAAAAAAATACATAACCCAACCTATCATACATAGGGAAATGTATTTATTAGATTTATTCTGCCTAGTTTGTAGAATGACTATTACAGATGTAGTTTGCATGCAGAATGGCCTATATTAAAAACAATACATAATATTGGTATATAGTACAATAAAATGCTAATAAAATTCTTAATGCTAATGTCAAACAGTGAAAACAACAAAATGCTGACTGGTTGGAAAATGACTGTTACATTACAGTACTGTGACTCAGTAGACTAAAAGGTAAAGCTAAAGGGAGAATTTTGATTTCGGCAATCCACATCTTATCTTTTTGTTGATGTTGGGCTATAAACCGAAAGTAGTGTTCTCAAATGAAAAGGCCCTGCTGTCTGTTACATGTCAGATTTATCCTCAATGTTGTAAAACTTATTTATGGAAATTGTCAAAAAAAAATTTGACCCAAACGCAGTGGTGGCAAACATTAAAATAACTTTACAGAAATAAGCTGTATTCTCCATGAAAGTCTTTTGTAGGTCATTTCGATGTATCAGCATTCATTTCAGTGTTTCATAACCAGATCAAAAACTCCTGACAGTACCATTAAGCTAAGTTTATAAATCCCCCCTTTGAGATGAATTTTGGTGGTGGGATCAATCCCTCAATATGAAAGATGTAATTCAGGCTCTGAGGCTGGTCAACATGAAAGCAGTGTGCCACATTTAAATGAGTGGTAAGACGTGTTAACACCACTGCTATTATGTTTACTGAAGAGTTTGGAGTTATGCATCTTTACCCTAGTGCCACTGCATAGACCTAACCTCAAGCCCTGACCAATCTGAACTATTACTGTGTAAGAAAAGCTGAACAGCCTTGAAGGCGTTGGCCTCAGCCAATGCTTGCCCTGCATATGGCAGGTGCCTGATTTATTTCTGTGTGCGAAAGCCTAGCATTGGCGGCCTATGTCATACAGAATTCTCCTCCACATGAGGTATCTGGGTTTATATGGTTTTCAGAAGGCCTGTTGATTAGGATTGTGCAATAAGGCAGTGGTATGTATTTCATACTTAAGTTATATACGTATTTTTTCTATGGTGTTTTCCTGTGTAAGGATCAAGTCATTTTTAATGCTTAGGCTCGCCCCTGCAAAAGTAGTTGACCCACCACAACAAGTTTCCTTCAAAGAATCTTTCAAGTATATCATAGAAATCTAATCAAGGTGGCGTTCATAAAGACTGTTTGTAAAAATACTTTGTTTAGGTTCAACACCGCAGTTTAGTTCAGCATGAACTACAGTCGGAAACGTTTTGCCCCCTTGATGAGCAGATGCAGCGTATGTATTGCCAGTTCAAGACGGGAGCCCTTAGTGATGTCTTGCATGCAATGTCAAACACGTCGGTGGAATGGTGGGGTGAAGTCGTGCTGCTCCTGAGTTGGCATCAGAGGTAGGAAGGTAGATGAACAGGGGGGGACAGCGGCCATGTATAAATATAAATGGTAAATGGACTTCTGACTACTCAAAGCACTTTTACTGTACACCACAGGTCACACCTACACATTCACACACTGATGGTAGAGGCTGCTTTGTAAAGTGACTGTCAGTAGGAGCTAATCCTGTTCATACACATTCACACACCACACACAAAGCAGCGGGGGCAACTTGGGCTAAGGACACGTCGACATGTGGCTGTGGGAGCTGGGGATTGAACACCTGACCTCTCTGTTGAGAGACGACCGACTATCACTGAGGCACAGCTGACCCACTAAGTCCAGAGTTGACAAGATGAAGCTGTGCTTTGTGTTTGTCTGTGTTTGTCAGAATGTGGGTTGAGGCTCCTGCTGTGTGTTCACTAGTGAATATGTCATGGTAATGTTGGAACACATTCGAATCCCCCTGTTAGTACATGTTAGGGATGTGTCATGATTTGCAGTTATTCGAATAGTCATACATTAAGTTAGAACAGTGTTTGAGAGTTTATTATATCACAGCGTAGTGTATTCAGATGATTCACAGAGGTGAAGATGAGACATAACGCAGCTCTGTCTGTCTGTCTTATTTCTATGCACAGCCCACTATTATGTATCAGGGAGGTGATTGGCAAAGGGCAAGAAGGAACAACAAAATGTTGTTATTTATGTCTGATGTCACCCTTGTCTATAAGAGAAAATAGACACTAGTAATTATTTATTTATTTAAATTCATAATAAATGTTTACAAGGACATCTACAGGGAGCAGGATTTTTTTTTTAAACCCTACGCATTTAAATATATTTTTAATAAAACATTCATGAATGCCTGTGTGATAAATCTCTAAGATATATAAGATATATGCATAATGTAATAAGAGTAAGGTCCAGACCTGCTGTTTTGTAGAGTTTCCTGAGACAACATTTGTTATGAATTGGCATTAAAGAAGAAAATGACTCTGAGAATAGTAAATGGATTGGACATGTGTGGTGCTTTTATAGACTTCTGACCACTTAACGTTCTTTAACACTACATTTAATCACTGATGTCAGAGGCTCCTGCTTAAAGCGCCCAACTGCCCTCAGAGTTATTCCATTCACACACCTGGCTAAACAGCTGGAGCTTCAACATGTGATAGCAGGTGAGAGACGACCAAATCTACCACTGAGCCACGACCGCCTATGATATTTTAGTCCATATTTACTTCCTCATTACAACAGCTTAAACACTAGTCATTTAAGATGTGTATTGAAAGCTTAAGTGAAATTGACACAAATCCAGAGTTGAAACATTATTTAAAAAATAAAGCAGTATTTCAAAAGAATAAAAAAGGGCGGCTGTGGCTCAGTTGGTAGAGTCGTCGCCTCTCAACCGGAGCTGGGCAACATGTCCGATGTGTCCTTGGACAAGACACTTAACCCTGAATTGCTCCCACTGCTTCAGTGGTGGTGTATGAATGGATTAGTTACTTCTGATGGATGATACTCCATAGCGATCACTACCATCAGAGTGTGAATGTGTAGGTGTGACATGTGGTGTAAAAGTGCTCTGAGTAGTCAGAAGACTAGAAAAGCATTTTATAAGATCAAGTCCATTTACCATTATCAGCTTGATCTTGTTACTCAGACATTTATATCAACACACTAAATCTTGCACGACTAAAGTCAGAACCTTTAGATATAAATGTATAGTCTTTTTTTAGTTATAAGCCTTCAAATGAATTTCAGATGAGGGTCGTTGTATAACTATTTGGTTACATTTTGTTCCACGTTGAAACATAAATTAATAGTAACATTTAAGGCAGTGAGCCGTTCTGACATATCTTGATTACACTAAATAGTCCTAGAAGCTTTTTACACTCTGGGTAGTGCATGGATATAAATAAAACATTATTATAAGTTATACTCTTGCTGGAAATCAAGTTATCCAGTCAAAGATAAAGACCCAGAGTTGGTGTGATGAACTCACTGTCATCTCCTACTGGTCCTGCAGAACACTGGGCCGGTGGGTCCCTTGCCAAGTCGTTCAACTCCTGAGACAAACAAAAGTCAGATGATCAGTTTCTGCAGAATGGGGCGGAAAATTAAACTATTTCCAAAAACAGTTACCTACGTAAGAGAAAAAGTCAACTACATCCAAACTACAAAGACAACCACAAGGTGAACCTTTTTAATAATCTGATCTGATAATAATATCCAGAAACAATCGTAATGTTTGAATATCTCTTAAGAGGACCAGTAAGACACATTTATATAGATAACTGTTTGTAAACAGGTAGAGAGATGACAAGTCTTATTAAAATACTTACAAACTTAAACACTACAGTAACACAGTAAGCTTTTACGTAAAGGTAGTTCTGCAGGTACAGCAAGGTGTGGTACTTGAAACAACCCAATGGAGACTGAGATCACACGTCAACAGAGGTTTATCTATAACTCACACAGTTTGATGAATTAGCTGAAAGCTTGTTGAATGTTATGATAATGTGAACTTAGCGAACATGCTAGTCGCTTTGGTAATCAGCCACATGGCTATGCGAGTGAAACACTTTGTAGAAACATGATTATTATATCATATGCTAAACATTCCTGAGGGAAATGATCTGCAACAAGACAACGCCAAACAACATGTTATCTAATAAAACAAAGTGTAAAGATATGTTAATGATGGTCTGCTGCAAGCTGCTGTCACCATCATGGCAGGGCGACGCGTGGGGCCTGCTTTTTATTTAAACACCACACAGACATAATGTTAGTGCTAACAAAGCCTTTACTCAGTTATATTTTTACTGTCAAGTATCAACAATAAGGTCAACAAAACAACAATAGCGCACATGTTTTTCACGACTATCTAATAGTTTGCATCACAGATAAAAGAAAATGTAATTGTAACAGAGCAGGGATATACGCTATATTAAGATAATGTTAAAGCAATCAGTAAGTGTGGGCTATTTAAATGATAATGTGCTGCATAAGGCTGTTATCTGCAGGGAAACTGTGTGTAAATGATAATTCACGGGAGTGTTTCACATAAGCTAACGTTAGCGTCGCTGCTAGCTCGATAGCTTATCTGTCAAATCAAGAGGCGAGTACAACTAGCTGTAATATTTATAACAGCGGTCAATAATGTACGCTACATTATCTGTCGTGCATCGTGGTTTCCAGAATGAAATCATTTTCTACCTTTTACACACGATAAGACACGTTTATTGAATGTAACCGTGACACTGTTAGCTAGCTTGAGCCGCAGTTAGCTTCTCTTACTGTCGTCACCCGCTATTCAGATTCCGTTAGCTCAAACTAACTCACAGGTAATGAGGCAATATTTCACTTTTTCACCCGATCTAATTAATTTGGCAACAACTAAGCAGATTGGCAACCTTTGCACCCATCGTGGGAGGAAAGTGCGAACCCCGGGGCCTCGTCGCTGACTTTCTTACCTTGTGAATTCTTTTCAGAGCCATTGTTGTGCTAGCGGTTCTGTCAGGGAAACGTGCAATTAAAATGGCGATTGATGTCACTCTCCGTGGGTAATACTACGACTCTGATATCATAGAACAACCTTCGCCGTTACATTCACTTCACCCGATCAGCTACCAAACGAAACCACCAACAAAATCTCGAGATGAAACTGAAGGATAGAAATGGTAGAACCGCGGTCCTTCCTCCTACTGCAGCGGCTACCAAATCACTGCGGCCTGCGTCCTGCCAGCAGCAACAACCAAGAGACTTCCGGCCCTGGCTCTTCACAATAAAGGCGCTGTTGTCGGTAGTCATTTAAATTACAGCACAATTGAGCGACAAAATCTGTAAATAAATACATGTGGAAATAAATAAATGTATAAATAAATAAATATGGAAATAAATAAATATGGAAATAAATACATGTATAAATAAATAAATATGGAAATAAATAAATGTAGAAATAAATACATGTAGAAATAAATAAATGTGGAAATAAATAAATGTAGAAAGAAATAAATGTAGAAATAAATATATGTGGAAATAAATAAATGTAGAAATAAATAAATATGGAACTAAATACACGTCAAAATAAATAAATATGGAAATAAATACATGTATAAATGAATAAATATGGAAATAAATAAATGTAGAAATAAATACATGTAGAAATAAATAAATGTGGAAATAAATAAATGTAGAAATAAATAAATGTAGAAATAAATACATTTGGAAATAAATACATTTATAAATAAATAAATGTAGAAATAAATACATGTAGAAATAAATACATGTAGAAATAAATAAATGTAGAAATAAATACATGTAGAAATAAATACATTTATAAATAAATAAATGTAGAAATAAATAAATGTAGAAAAAAATACATGTAGAAATAAATACATTTAGAAATAAATAAATGTAGAAATAAATACATGTGGAAATAAATACATGTATAAATAAATAAATATGGAAATAAATAAATGTAGAAATAGATTTAAGAGATTTAATTATTTATGTCCCATTTATTTACCAGTTTTTATTTATTTATTCACGCATTTAATTATTTATTTATTCATTCTTTTATTTATTTATTCCAGTATTTATTTATACATTTACTTATTTATTTATACTTCTGTCAGATCTCGTCCTCCATAAAAATCAACCGCAAGACATGATAAATCACTGACTGGCCCACATGGTAAGCAACTAACATGAAGAACTTAATACTGTAAATGCAACTCTAAGAGACTTTTATGTAAAGTCTTGACAAATGAGAACCAATATTGGGTTATAACCATCTGTTTTTTAGATCCAATAAACTTTGTTTAATAAGATTTATATAGTTTATAAATAAATAAAAAAACACTCAACGCAACCATTTTAAAAGAATCATAGTGCGATCAATATCATTAACCGCATAGAACAGGTAAAGATCATTATTTTATTCTGAAGGGCAGCCCCCAAAGCCGGAAGTCTTGTTGTTAAAACGCATCCCTCACTGCGATAGAGAGTCCTACACCGACATGCGCACGTAAAGAGCTCGCAGTGTACACTAGGCATGAAGTACTGGAACTGGCATCGCTGTGGCTCAGAGCATGGGGCCGCAAGACTGGGTTCATAGTGTCTGGACAGGTCCATAATGTCTGACCAGCACATATTTATCTAGTCTGGGACCAGTGCTTAGACGTTTTGCTTCATCAGTTACAATGTAATTTACTTAGGCCTATTTCAGGACAATAAAACGCATATGGTTGCAATATTTAAGCGCATTTTGTTCTAGGCTACAGATACATTTTACTCTGGGTTTGCAAACTGCAGAGAGATATAACAGAAAATTAAGAATCAGAAACATTATGTCTATTTGACTCAGAAATGTTATGGGTTGTAAAACACTTAATTTTTTATGTAGGGTTAAATATTAATGTTAAATCTATATGCTATATATGTGAAATGTGAAATATTAAATCCAAATGTTAAGTCTAAATTTTTTGTTAAGATAATTATTTACAGATTATGCAAATCATATTATACCATGCCTGAGGTTACACTCCATTAGCCTCAAAACTGGGATGTCAGAGCTGGGAATGACGTCACACCAGTGCTAAGCGCGTGGAGTTGTGAGTTGGCAACAAGTCAGACAAGCAACATGAGGACCCTTGTTTTGTTAGCTTATACCAGGTGATAACAAAACAATGTGTGAAAATAACCTGACAACATGTCAACAGACAGAATCTGCACGATAATATCAGTGTGATGGATTTAATTCAAAAAGAGAAAGCTAAACTGTATAATAAACACAATACAGCTTTATCGCTATGCTTTATCGTTACTTTTGATGCACAAAGCGGATATGTTGCATTATAGCTTTGGCTACTGAAGGTTTCAAGTTGGGGGCGTTCCTGATGATGTTTTAGACTGGAAACTCTAAATTTCCTAGATCAAATGGAACACACCATTTGCAAGCAGCCACACCCACACCAATGACCATGGATCAGGTGAAAAGAGGAGTAGGAAAAGTAAGTGTTGAGGACCCAAGCATGGCTGTCAGGAGGAGAGATATAAAGGGCTGTTTTGGCAGGTGTCTGGTCTACTCTTCAAGAGGTTTACATTTAACATTAAACTTTAATCATTAAAATTTAGGTGAGCATTTAGATGTATTATTTTAATTTAGTTTTACATTTAGAAATAACACACACATTTGGATTTACCAATTAGATTTAGATTTTAAGCATTTAGATTCAGTCCATCTATCTATCTATCGATCTATCTATGTCTGATGTGTCCTTGGGCAAGACACTTAACCCTGAATTGCTCCCACTGCTTCAGTGGTGGTGTATGAATGGGATTAGTTACTTCTGATGGATGATACTACATAGCGATCATCACTACCATCAGAGTGTGAATGTGTAGGTGTGACCTGTGGTGTAAAAGTGCTCTGAGTAGTCGGAAGACTAGAAAAGCGCTACATAAACTCAAGTCCATTTACCATTATCCCCCAAGAGGAAAGCACAAAGTCAAGTCAAGCACTTGGGAACAGCGTCAGCAGCAATGTGATGAGACATTTTGTAAAGACTAATGAATGTAGTCTTATTGTGCTCTTCTCTGTTCTTTTTCAAAATAATATTTGAAAAAGTCTTGATATGCAAAGGCTCAAAGTGTATCTTTGCCTATGTGCACCGGATGCCCATATCTAGATGTTGTATTTGAGATGTATTTACTGGCCCTTTTCCAGAGACCCTGGGATGTAAAATGGACACTTCTTTGGGGCCCCCTTCTGGCCAAACTATGTCTCTCAATACTTACTATTCATGTTTGCTTCTGAGCTTGTGCCTAGATGGCCAGGAGGACAAACTTGCTATCATTTTGTGTCTGTTTGGGAAAACATATTTATTTTCTATTAATATAATTTATTGTTGTATTAATAACAATAATTAGGCTATATGATACATGTATTTTTCACTATAAAATGTGGCCCATCTTGAGAACATCATGTGTTTTGTACCCATTCAAAGATCATTGTGTGACATTTGATTAACTGCTTCACAGTCTTTAACCTAAGGCAAATGCAAAAAGAAACTGTCTAAAACCCCCAAAAATCTGGAAGATGAGACAGTTAATAAATGCTTACATGAATGGCATGTGCCGTCGTTCATACTATTTGTGCTAATACAGTCACACCTTCCGGCACCTGCGCATTCAATCGTAAAGTGGATGATGAGGGGGGAAAACCCAATTCATGTTTCCACAGGATGGCAGTAGTGACATAAAGTGACTCGTACAGATTGTGTTTGTGTAAACGTATATATAGCCCATGTGTGTGTTTGTGTGCGTGTGCGCCCATTCTTGCGTGTGCGCGAAATCTGCGTGGGAGTTCCTTCTTTCGCCATTCCGGGGTGTTGCCAGCTGAACGTTTGCAGAGGCGTGCTGAAGATGTAGAGCCTGCTCGTATCTTTCTCCAAGGCGTCACTTCGCCCTCTCACCTCCAGAGTCTGAATACCCCACCCCCCTCCTTCACCCCACCCACCAACATCATCTTGGCTAAACTAGAACCCCCCCCCACACACACACACACACACACACACACACACACACACACACACACCACCACACTCCCCATCAAACAGCACATTTTGGATCCAAGCATGCACCAACAGCAGCTAGATTTCCGATTATCCTCCCCCAAAGTCACCGCAGGCGCAGCAGCAGGCTTCCCCCGTCCGAGAGAGTACGGAGATTCCACCGAGTGATGCCACTGACTGCTGCAGCAAGAAATACACCAAGCTACCGCACATACTCTCGTCGCCTGCCGGAGGACCCGACACCACAGTCTCGGCCCCTGACAGAAGAGAGAGCCCCCTCCCCGCCCCCCCTCGGCTCCGCTCCCGTCCTGACTCCAGGATGTCCGACAGCATCGCAAGTCCCGCCGATCGGTTGATCAAATGTAGGCATGCCAAATCCTGCATGGCCATTCAGAGCTATCTCTGTGCCAATATTACTGCTGTTAATCTTCTGTAGGTTTTTTTTTTGTTTTTTTTGCGTTCTTGTCATACACCAGTGTCTCTTCTACGCACGTTTTTTTTTTGTTCAGACTTCATCCCTTTAATCAATCTATTCTCCCGCCTCATAATAAAAGAAGCCTATGTGACTTGCGAGTCATGCATGTGTTTCTGAACCTTTGAGTGGAAGGAGGTGGGGATGGAGGGAAAGTGAAAAGATGGTTGGAGGAGGAGGTTATCCAGAACTATACGCCACAATCAGGGTCTTCCCTCATAAAACTATTAGAATTCACGCCCTCACCGAGGCATTACCCCATTTTCTAACGGGGGGGATGTCTCTTCCTCTATGTATAGCAAATGCTAATGTGCGACACCCTGTGCTGCATGATCTCCAGTTACGCGCTCCACTCCTAGCGGTGGTTTCGTGTTACTGAATTATACTCTACAGAGACACAACCGGAGAGTGGTAGAGGGAGGAAAAGGCAGGGAGAGAGAGAGAGAGAGAGAGAGAGAGAGAGGAAGATGAGCATCTTGTTCCAATGAAACAACCAGCAGTGTGACGATGACAGCGAAAGGCAGACATAAAGGTAAATAAATGTTACGAATATCTTGCGATCGTTGGTGTTGTGATTCTGTTGTAGATGTTAAAGGTGTCGCGGAATGATGTTGCATGAAAGCAACGATGCAAAGAGAGAGGGAGGTTAAAATGCTATTGGGGGCTTATTACTTGAAGGGACCTACAATTTCGGAGTTTTCTGCCTTATAGTGCCCATATGGGCTGTACTATGGCTGTGCACATCTCAGCGTTGGCCCCGGTGTTGGATGTGCTGCCGCTACCTCTACAGGGTGGCCTACATTTTCGATGTAGTTTATTTTCTTTCACAGAATCAGAAAGAAAGTCAGGTTAACAAATGGTTGAAATGGCTAGAAGGCTGAAGACATTGTCCAGGCCGAGTGCGCACCTTCATGTCTGGGAGATTGGTTGTAATGGTAAAGGCAATTAAAAGAACATAAGACTAGTATTTCCTATAATGCCGCTTAGTGTACATAATGGATTTACGAAGTGTTTTAAGTCGACGTTTTCAGGAAGGCCTGAATGTCAGTTACAGAGTGTGCTTCTCGTGAGTATCATTCATTCAGGTCTCCATAAAGGTCTCCCTGGCTTCCCCCTCTTTTTACCCACATATTGTCAAATAATGGACACAATTTTATTTCAGGATGCTGCACTGAATATCAGAGCCCATTGCCCGACGAGGATTTTTGCATTGAGCCCTAATGGTGTAATTGCATCACTGGATTATGGAATATTTAATGTGTTTATGAGAGTGTCTGTTCCTGCTTTACGCGTGGGCGGCTATAGGGGAGTCGAGGAGGGGCTCCTCTCGGGTTGTGATCCAAGGAGCTTGCACAGATTTTCGTGCTTATCGGGTCACAGCAAGGCTGGCATGGCAGCATCGCTTCCAAACACGCAGCCTGTCACATGCAACAAAGCCTGGGTTTGCCGTCTCTCCCACTGGTTCCCCTTAATATACTCTCAAGGTCTCTCTGCCGGAAGAAGCGGAGCTGACAGTAGGATGCGTGGCACGGGCATGCCCCGGTATTCCGTGCGCGCTTCGTGCTTGAAAGGGGGTGGAGTGGGCTGGGGGCGTGGGGGTTTTTGCAGTTTTTGCACGTAGGACATCAAGACTGTATGTGCCTTCAGCGTGGCTGGACTTGTACAGTACGTGTGTAACCACATGGATGCAGTAGTGCATCTGAAAAAGTCAGATCAAACCTGCTCATCACTGACCCCTCATCCATCCAGTGTTAACCTTCTTTCCCCATCAATATGCAGCTCTCTTCTGTGTGTTACATTATGTTCTGGTTTGTAGGTGTCTTGTAACACAGATGGTCCACAGGAACGGATACATACATCTGAAATAAACATGCAGCAAAACAAGACAAGTCATCAGCTAGGTGAGATTGATTTAGTGTGGAGTGTGAAGGGAGGGAAGGAAGGGGCATCAGGCATCACTTTCTGTGGATGGACTGTTCCTGGTAGTTCCCCACATTATTGATTTTAGTGAGAGAGATGAATGCACAGAGATGGAGCCAAAGGACACAGCATAGTAGGAGGAATGGACAGAGAGAGGCAAAGAGTGTGGGGGCGAGGTGAGTGAGAGAGGTGAGGAAGGAATGGATGTGACAAGGCCATGGAGGAGGCTGAAGGGAAAGAGAAGGAAGGAAAGGAGGGGGGGAGTGATTAAAAGAAAGACAAGGTAATGTTTCATACTTCTTAGTGGCTGGACAGCATATTCTCAGTTAACCAGTGGACTTCTCACACTTTTGTGAATCACATATCATGGAGACACATTTGTGTGTGAAACACCAGCAGCTTCATAACCAATCTGAGAATGTGACTTTTACTTAAAAGTGTATTTTTTTTTGTTGAAACATATTATAAGTTCTGCCTCTGATTTCTCAAACCAGGCCCTTGACTGTTTCCACAACTGGACAACATGGAATCTGTTTATTGTTGATAACAGATGAATGATCACTACAAGTTTATGCACTAGTATTCACTGTTGTCAAAGCCAAACCTGTGACTGTGTCAACACCAAGCAATCTTAGATGTGTACATTCCACCCTACCACCATGACAGTGTTACCAGTAAATGACAAAGTCAAAGTCAACTTTATTGTCAATTTCAAAATATGCCAGACATACAGTGGAATCGAAATTGCGTTTGTCTCCGTCCCACGGTGCAATACAACCAAAATAAGGTCAAATAGATAAAATAAAATGAGGTAAAATAAGATAAATAATATATACAGTAATAAATTCTAAATTGTGCAAAAGGTACAAAACAAAATGGTAAATAAAATAAAATAGAATAAAATTTAAAGAAAAAGTAAACTTGTGCAATGTGCAGTAAACTGAGTGTCATTTTGAATTGATAGCTTCAGAGTTATTAGTCCAGAGTTCTTGGTGGCAAACGGGAGGGGGTTTCAACGTCCAGTGTGAAGGCATTCATACTGTGTAGTGAGAGAGGCACAGTACAGTAGCTGAGGAGGGTAGCTCATAAAGGCCTTCAGGGTAGGATAAAAGTATGACACAGTAGGCCTTACACATAGACGCCTTGAAAAAGGTAAAAGCATAAACTCAAAAGTACAACTGTCAAAAAAAATACATCATGACAGTATTTCAGAGCAATGACATTTGAAAAGTCTAACACTGTCAGTACTATCACTTTAGCACGCTGAACATATTGGGGAGGTTTGTGAGTGAGGTTCAGAGTTTAAGGCGCACATGAAAACCCAAAGATACCCAAGCATTACGATAACTCATAACAATCTCTGGCTTGTAGACCTTGCTCCCAGCAGAAGCACAGATGTTATAAGTAACAATGAAGATGGCTGCATTCCACATATCAGCTACTTTCAGCATCCATGAATCGTGCAAGCTAGCTGGCTCACAGTCATGGGTTACTGGGACACTCGCAGAGCTTGGAGCTTTCTTTGCTGTGAAACAGATTGATTGCCATTCTTATCCTGGAGTGGTACAACCAGTAAATCCACAACAAGCCTGAACAATAGAAGGATCAAGCTTGGTAGCAGCTTGATATATTTTAGGACTAGCTTATTTTTCTCAATTTCTTGTCCTTTTAATCGCAGTGCCTTTGTGCTGTATTCATGTCTGTGGTAACATTAACAAACTCCCCTGTTTTCTTAATGTGGTTGGAGAAGATTTCTGAAACATACACTATATTACATTTCCATAAAATAATATGTAGGGCAGACTAGATCTAAATGGTGACAGTACATACTATATTTTATTAGTCACATCGGTACTTGAAATGCTTTTACTAATTTTATATAATACTGTAATACAATCCAGAAATTCTAATAATTGATTTATATATAATATAAATCAACTCCTTTCTGTTACCTAACCAATAAAAATGGATGATTATAGATGTCATAAAGTTAGAATGTATTATTTTCCATTAGAGCCCAACCAATTAATCAGGTAGCCGATAATATCGTCCGATATTAGCATATCAAATGACTATCAGTATCCGCTAATTTTATTGCAGATATGCACCGATATTACTGGATTTATTTTCATTTGAGTTTCACTGTATTACACTAGCAGTTCTCTTTGACCAGTGAAGGGCGCTATATGGACTATAAAAAGCATAATCACTCTCCAGAGTGTCAAGCAGTGATGCACGTACATGCACAGTTACTTCGTTGTATACCTTTTACACAAGTGTTTGATCTGAGGGATCAAAATGAAAAATGTGTATACCTGTATCTATTTATATGGATCGAACATAGATCTAACAAAGATATTGGTCGATATTTCAGAATGGATTTCTTTTTCTCCCCTATTAAATGGGGATATCGGCCCCAAAAAACATATTGGTCAGGTCCTGCTTTTTCCATTTCCCATGTGCCAACTACAACAGAGTTTAAAGTTGGCCTAACTGCAAGTGTTTGCCTTTTCGTAATGTAAGTACGTTAGTACACATTAAGTACATTTTTTGGTCACATAAGCAGACTTCTGTTGCTGATTTTTGTCCGTTGCTACACTTATCACTCCTGGGCTTTTACCTGCCACATTACTTGGCATACTGTATGTGCAAACTTAATGCAGGGAGGCTACAAACAGATCATTTTACTGCCAAATGTCTTTCATAAATTGGATAGGGTGGAAGTGTGCTACTCTGATTGATAATAGATATCAGATATAGCCAATATCCGTTTGATATTTTTATATCTGTTCGAGTCGGCTGTTATCTGTTGATGGAAGGCTAGCATTCAGTAGCCTACGTTTACACGCACAGTTAAGTCAAACTACACTTTTTAGCTCTGTAACGCAGTTTAATTGAACTACTGTCTACGGGGGAGAATCCATTTATTGTCAAATGGTGTAAACATGGAAATTTTTACAGCTTACCCAC